GTAAAAAAAAGGAAGAGAAATTACAGTAATATGATTCAAAGCAGAATTTGCCCCAGGAGTCATGGAGGACATGGGTCAAGGCGATTATACAACTGCAGTGACAGTGTGACAGTTAGCAAGGTTTGAAAAGTTGGTAACTATAAGGAAGTTGTCGAGGACTCTTACAACTGCTTCCCATTCATTAATACTTGAATACTTAGCTTTGTGAGATGATGTTACTTTCAAATTATTTGTTTTGATTTGTTTTGGTGAAGTCTATTAATTATTTCTCTTATGCAAAAGACAAAAGCAGAAGTAGGAAGTAGAGATGTGAAAAGCTGCCCCTTAATATATTATTTAGAGACCCCAAAGAAGTCTAGACAATCTGGCCAGCACAATGTGCTGCCAAACTGGACACAGACTGATAAGACTGAGAAAGGCCATTTGACTTGGGAGCAAGTTGGCTCCTTTTACCCTGGAAGGGATTGAGTCAAAAAAGCACCGCTGGGCTGTACTGGCAAAAGCACTCTTACTGTGGATGTAGCTGTATAAACAAACTGCTTTTTCTTAGTCTGTCAAAATTACCTTCTCTTTATATGCCTTGGTTGAAACAACCTCTCTCAGCAAAACCAGAATGTTGCCAGCGTAACTTTCACCAACTTTCATTGCTTTAAAATTGCTGCAATAAAAATTAAATCTCTAGTAGCTACCATAGTAGCTCTCAACTCAGACTAATATAATAAATGAACTCCTTGTGTAGATGAGGGGAGCTGTACCTAGTAGGGTGTTTATTACTTTAGGAATGCATTCTCTCTGCTGCTATTACGTGTTGGTACAACTCGCTATGCAGCATATTCCAGCATCTACTAATTGTTGTTTACTAATAGGGCTAATTTACCTATAGGGCATTTTCTTTTCTGTTTTATGATGTCCAGAGATTATTGAAAAGCACCAACACACTCTTACCATTCATTATTAATACTGAAATCTTAAGTTTAGGCTTAGAGAAGGGAGGGAATATTTGGCTTATGGTTTTACTGCATCTGCCCTAAATGGCATTACTAATTTTCTGTTGTTGTCGTTGTCATTTTGCATTCCAGACGCTACAATCATTAGACCTACACATTGTGAGTAAAATTCCAGTCCTGACACATACCTGGTATTCAGTTCACTTAAAATTCTTAAGCATGAAGAAAGAGACATAGAGGAATAGAAATGGTGACAATAGATTTTTCCTTATAAGATGATAGCAATAGAGCAGATAAAAATAAACTCTCTGCATGTTCCCTGAGCACAGTGTAAGAAATAATGGGCCTGAATTGTAGGAAAGGAGAGTTAGGAGAATATTCATAGATACTCTTGTAGGATGGAAGACGAAGACTCCTCCCTCTCCCATCAAAGAAGTTTATGCAAAGAAGTGTGTCGGGGACAGGGGAGGAAAGGCAGAATAAGTCTGTGCCTGTCCAGCTGTTTACAAAAGATGGTGACCAGTGTTACTTGTGAGCAGAGTCCCAGTTATTGACTCTAGTTTGTCTTGAGTTATGAGCTGTTGCTTTAGTGGACATATGGCTCAAGCCAACTATAGGCTCCTTGGACTATACAGAAGGTCACTCTTCTGCTCTGAGCTATTTCCCTGCCTCTGTCCTGCAGAATACTGGGTGTGATACCAGGTTCTGTCTCTTCCACTACCTCAGCCAGGCAGGTGTCAGAGATGTATATAGTTCAGATATTTTACAAACTTATGATATTAATTTGTTTGATTTTGAGTAATATGTATGAGATTTTTCCCTATCTGGTATTTTAAGTATTTTTGGAGTGTCTCCAGCAATAGGACTTCCTCTCTAAAAGTCTTACCATGTAGCAGAGAGATCTTTTGAATGATCTCTTCAGTGTGTTTTCATCTGTGAAAGGCAATACAGAGTTTGGTATATAAATTATGTGTCTCTAAGGTGAACCAGAAGAATCTCCCTCAGAGGTATTGCTAGTTCTTCAGTGCAATCTGTCAGAAGGACAGAACTGCTGCAGAAACCAACAAGAGAATTTTGAAATATCAGAGTAAGAAGTGAAATCAAGAACATTTAAGGAAGTTCCTCTTGTTACATCTCCTTACTGGGAACAGGTAGAGAAGATAGACAAGTGTAAGCCTGTGGACATAGACTGTATCCATTATGTATCACATACTGTACTCTTCATATCTCAAAGAATAAATACATGATGATGATATTTACAGAGTGGGAAGAGGGTGGAGGAGAACCGAAACATCTCATGCTTTTGTGTGTTTAAAATTTACAAGTAAAATTATTTAAGAAACCAATTTGTCATTCAGGAGGAGTCATGACTATGGATTATGAAGAGCAAATAGCTGATAAAGTATGTTCTATGCATCCGTGTCACGTTGTTCATCCAGCTTCACTTACTATGAACTTCACTGGCTGGTCAGAGTGTAAAAATTAGAAACATTATTTTCAATCTCCTTCAGCTGTAGCATATCACATGTTTATATCTAAGCTTCTACAAAAGCTTTCAAGATTCCTGGTTTGATAATTAAAGAGGTTCCCTGATTGATATTAATTTGTCAGGCTGTAGTTTCAGGACCAATTTCATCTGATCTAAGTATGGGCTGCCAGAAGGGGTAGTTCTGTCTTCCCCCTCAGTACCAAAGTGGAAAAAGAGAAAGAGGTCTGTTTCTTCTGTCAGAAATAGTGCTCTGTTCCAGCCTGGCTGAAATCTAACCCATGAAAAACATAAACCAGTGCAAAAATAACAATTTGTTTTCAAAGAAATTGCAGTTTCTTCCTGTGCTGGCATAAGGGTCAGGGAGAGGAAGCAGAGCTGGCAACAGGGGCAAGGGGACCAGTGGAACCTCCCTTTTCCTACATTTAGCTCATCATAATCTGAACTGCAACCTCATGTTTCCACTGCATTTAAAAACACATTTACTGTCCCTGTTGTGTTGGTAAAATACAGATATCTATTTATTTCTATTGACATACCTATTTAATAGTTCCTTGTGGGACAGTTATACTGGTGCTTGGATGCTCTCCCCAACTGGATATATTTAGAGCAATGTAATACAACTTTATGCTACTATAATATTAAGAACCTCTGATTAAGTTATTTCCCAATGTTTTAATTAATGCCATTCTTCCAAAACCAAGGGCTACAAAAGGATTCATTTTAAAATAGGTTTAGTTACTGCAGCTTGTGGGTTATCTGTTAAAGCAAATAAAGCTCTATAAGTTATCAGCAATGTGGATAAAATAATGCAAAGTTCACTCTGCATTTCTCTCTCATAAAATTCTTCTTTCCTTGCTGCCCAAGTGTCTCTTGTCTGTCTACTCACTGTTCTACAAGTTTCCCTCCCTGTCTCTGATTTTGTGGTTATTTGAGAGCTTAACTTCAGAGGGGTGGGATGGGTTGTTGCTACTGTGGTACAGAAGCATGAAAAGCAGGTATTTTTAAGGGTTACGACCTGATGGCAGATCCAAGTAATGCAGGTCCAAACAAATTCCAAACTGCCAGAGGCCAGCTTTATATCCCCTACTCCTTTGTAGCTGAACATGGGCTCTGAACCATGGATTTAGCTAAACCAACTGTGGTTTCCTTGCACCATCCCCCTTTGCTCTTCATAGGCCAGTAGGCTGAACCCAAAATATTGTTTTTAAACTACATATCCATGAAAAGTGAAACTCTATTCTTCAGACCTGCAAAAAATTAGCTGCTTTGAAAGTGTTCACTGAGATAGTGTTATATGGGATGGTAGTTTCCTATCCTCTTATATCTGTTCTTGTTTTCATGTGTTACATCTCTGCTCTCTTGCATTTTTCACTTGTTTGATCCCTTTCGACTGAGTGGGACGCTCGCTATCTTTCTCCTTCCTCTCTGTAATTTATTTCTTTCCAAGCCTGGATCACCTTCGTATTTCTCCTGTTGTCTCTGGGTCTATTTTGTTTGGAGCAGATGCTCCCCCTGGTGCTCTATTTTGTAGTGTTCAACATAGTACAGTCAAAAGAAACTGGATAGGTTTACAGTTATCTAACAAAGCGAATTCCAAGGGAATAAAGGAAATTATTATTGAAAATTAATTTTTTATTTGGAATTTCATCTATTCCTGAAATTAACAGCAGCTTTGAGTAATTTCTCCATAATAAAATTCAATAAATTGTCAAGAAGCCTTTTCTAAAAGTCTAATCTACTAGCGGTAGCAAACCCTGAGGGAGACTGAGTTGAAATCATTTCTTCCCTCTCTGTTTCTTCTCCAAAACTCCCATGCACCACATTGTTCCTACAAGGCCACATGCTCGGAGAAGGTACTGCAAACTGACTTAACCAGCCTGGTTTTTTTCATAGACCTTATATCCACCAGTACAGACTTGTAGCTGCTTTTGTATTCTTACAGCCCAGTTGTTTGACTGTAAATTAGCCCAGTGATTTCATCGAAATAAGGTCTCCCTGCTCTGTGCAGTTTTCTATCTTCCTTGGGATTTGAACTCTTACAGGTTTTCTCGTACAAGTGCTCGGGGCAATTTTGCTTCTTTGCATTCACATTCAATCAATTCAAGGCACGGAAAAGTCGTTGCTAAAAGCTAAAACCTGTTCCATAAACCTCCTCCATGGTCTGGTAAGCATTGAACTCCCACTTTGGCAAAGCATAAAAAAGTGAGCTGTTCATGGAAAACACTACAGCAGCACGAACTTCTGTAGTTAGTGTTTCTCTTAACTTCCTCAATTTAATTTAGTATCACAGATGATGTAGTGCCTGTCGCAAGCCTTGAGTTTCCTCTCGCGCCACGAGTTGGAAAGTTAATCTGTTAAGAGTCAAAAAGCAAACAGGCAGAATGCAAATACAGTTAAAGTGTTATTGCATATAAGAGCTCGTAAAATCTGGAAGGTCTCGGTGCTCAGGGTCTGACGAAGGGTCGCACACAGAGCACCCCTTCCCACTCCAATCGCGCCGGGCACTGCCGGGACTGGGACTCGAACCGGTGACGAGAGAGGGCGGGTGTTTGCCTGTGCGCATGCGTACCGCCGCCATGACGGTCAGGTGGCCGGCGGGGAGGGTTTGGAGATGCTGCAGCTGCTGGAGAAGCTCCCGGCGGGACGGGCCCCCGAGGTGGGTTCTCCGCGGCCCCGGGCGGGGAGGGCGGTGTTCGCCGCGGGAAAGCCCAGGTGCCGCTCCCCGGCACCTCTAAGCGAGGCCGGGCCCGCCGGCGGCGCGGGGCTGCGAACCGGGACCGCCCCCTCCCGCCAGGCCGCGGCGGTGGAGGACGGTGGTTTGGGAGACCAGAGATGCCCACAGGTTTGGAAGTCAGCATTTGGAGCTGTGCTGTACAACCTGGCCATCCCGGTGCAGAGGTGACTGAGGTGCCTTTGGCGTGGCAGCTGTGTAGTTGTGCAGCTGTGTAGCTGTGGTGCTCGGCGGTGCTGTGTAGTTGTGCATGCCAGTTACATCCACATTCAGGGTGAATCTGAATCATGCTGTGATTTCTGTGGCCGAACTTCGTGAACTGACTTTAGGGCAGAAGGGGGGACAGTTCGTATTCAGGGACTACCTCTTAAAGACTTTTTAGAATGCTGCATTCAGGAAGCACTGAGGGAGTACCCAGTGGATGGAAGGGTGAAAACTGAATTGCTTGATCAGTCTCATAGCTGGTAGATTAACTATGATAGAATTATATTCTCAAGTTATGTATCACATTGTTTCAGTTCCTTCATAAAGTAGTTGATGGCATATGTGGCCGTGCATATCCTCGATACCAAGATTATGGCACCATTTGGAGCTTGTCAGAGTGGATGGAGGTTTTAGAAGAAACAATGGCCTATTTCAAAACTGCAGTTGGCAAAAACATATCTGATGAAGAGGTAAGGGTTCATCACTGGTTGGCTTTTGACTTTGAGAGATCATACTGGAGTGATTAGTTTTGCAGTCTGTTTAGTCCTAAAATATTTTTATAGTGTAGCATTTGAATAGTAGTGGATTAAGCAGAAGATAAGCAGCATTTACAAATACACTGCTAAGACTTTTAAAACAAAAAGTGAAATTGATGCTGATTTTTGGATATTTGTTAAAATACTGGTTTAATCACTCAAATTCGTATTTTGAGTACCACCAAATTTAATCTGTTTAACTTAAAATATATACCTGTAAATAATACCGTTTTCTAGCAACAGAACCAATTTACACTCATTTGACTTTCTTTGTTCGTTAGTGCTGCATTAAAGTGGTTTAAAATGTTGGCTGTATGTAAATAATTTGGTTTTTTAAATCTGACAGTGAATGGAGGACCTTGGGGTGCAGGGACTATAATTCAGGGTATTCCAGTATGTACGAACTTTGCAAAAACTCGTTCCATTATTAGAAATCTTAATTCTTACTTTTTGCATATGCCTCACATTTTGACTACCTGCTAGTAGCCAGGTCGAAATCACACGTGTAGTCATAGGAGGTCGGTACATCGGTATGTCTGTTTCAGCTGAGCTAATGTATTTGGCCTGCACTCTGATGCTGAGAAACTTTTAGAGCTAAACCTGAGTTATTTGTGTGTGTGATTCTGTTTTGATTTTAGGGTAGCATCTAAGAAGGCCGATAAAGCCTGCATTCTCTGTCATCTTTTAATTTAAGTGAGAAGAACGTTATTTTTTTCTTTATATCTTGCTGTGGTAAGCACTGACTCTATCAAACACAGAGGGCAGCCACTAAAGGCAGTGTAAGAAAGATGGGGCTATGCAGTCCAGTATAAGAGCTGTCAACTTGGATATCTAGAGCACAGCTATTGCAGGTGATACATGTTATTTCTGTTGTTCATAATTTAAGCAATCACAGTTTTATTATTTTTGTAGGCTGCTCAGCAGATAAGTGAGTTAAATTCAGACTACCAAGAAGCAATCACAAAATGTCTGAAGGGTAGAAAGGAAGAAATCAGGAATGCCCTAGTGGAAAGCGTAAATGGAATCTCTTCTGCCCAGCTGCAGGATTTTGACTGGCAGTTAAAGGTGAGAGTTGCCTTAATGTTGTTTGAAAAAAATGTTCTACAACACAGAAGTAACTATTGATATAGTCCCCCTAGGCCTGCCCCCTCTGGAGTATGGTTCAATTTCTATAAGTATGAGAAAAGCTCATTAGTGAGCTTTTCTCATACTTACACATCAAAGACTTGCCAGAAATTTGTATAAACTGCAAAAGTAATTTTTTCATTTGTTTTATTTTGGTTTTGCCCTCCTTTCTTTTAAAGCTGCAATATCTCTCCCTTTCCTAAAGGGACACATGAGGTGCTATTCAGGAACACCTAAAAGTTTTGTATGCTTTTATGATTTTGGGGCCTGAATAAAGTGTATTTTGACTCAAAGAAAGAAGAAATATTTACTTAATTTTAAGATTAGCTGAGTGATTCAGGATGATTTTTCCTGACTTTTTAAAAATTTTTAGTTTTTGCAATAAGCAATAATTAGTTTGAAATAATTTATGTTTAGACTTACTATTTTTCTGGTAAACCAATGATAATGGTGTTGCCTAAAGCAGGATGGTGCTGAAGACAGCTGCTTTAAATTAAGCTCTGTCAAATACTTTAAAAAATTACTTGTACTGTTTGTATTTTTAGTTAGTCCATGAGAACTGTTAAACGGAGTTGTAGAGCTGTTGAATAGTTTTCCATGTTAACAAGTGTTAAATAGTTTTGGCAGCAAACAGCCTTGGAAATCAAAGAGTAATGCCCTAAACAGACAAGTTTTTGCAGGAGCCAATATGGCATCATAACATGCTTTGGATGGACTGTTACTGGGGTTGATCTCTTGCTAACTGCATTTACTGCTGACAGAAATACAAACTGGACTTATGTGAATTCTTGGGGTTTTTTTGTGACTTGTTTTATTTTTTTCTTCTGAAGGATTTTTTGAGTTTCTTTCTATTTTGCAATGCAAATTTCTGGTACATGTCCAAACTACTATATTTATTTTTCTTAAAACCACTTTTTTTTTTCCCCCCTTGAGCTGATTATGATTTTTTTGCTTGCCATGATTGAACTCTACCAAAGACATTGTGTCTTCTCTGCTGTATCACATTCTGTTCTCTAAATAGATAAGATAGTATCTTATACTACCTTATAGTATATATAGTGTATATTTATATACTGTAAGATAGTATCTATTGTATATAGACCTATAGTATTATCAACTGATCTTTGTTTTTAATACACTTTAAAAGCCTTATCTGTGCTAGAGTGGGTATAATAGGAAAAAAAAGAAAAGAAAGCACGATTGGTATATAGTCCTCTTCATCAATGTTTGTCAAATAGGATCTCTGACAAACAGTGTTTAATCAGCTGTAGAGAGTGTTGAAAAACACATGAAAGTCCCCTCTTTCTCCTAACTGCCCCATTCTGTATGACCCTTCTCGTTGAAAACCAAAACAATTTGAGTATGGTGATTTCAGAATTCATATACTTCATTAAAGAGCCATGATGAAATGTATCCTTTCTTTTTACCTATATTATCAAAATGTGTCAGCCCAGTAATTTTAACAAATTGTTTTTGAGAAGCGTATTGCTGTGAAGAGGGTTTTTTAGTATTTCAATATATTGTTGGTATTAACAAACAAACAAAAATCCCAATAACAAGGAGGAGGAAAAAAGAATCCAAACTGCTGAAATGACTTCTGAGAAGTTAATTTTGTTATGCTGATATTTGTTCTGGTAGCACAAATTGAATTTAAAGTGCAGATGTGTTATTATGAAAGACTAAAAACTTACTGGCTCCACCTTACACTTTATTGTTGTTTTGTCAATCTGCATAGCTTGCTCTTTCCAGTGATAAGATCTCCGTGCTGCAAATGCCACTCCTCAATCTTGATTTGGATGTGAGAGAAAATGGTGAAATTAAGCCAATTTCTATAGAGATGAACAAGGAAGAGTTGCAGAACCTAATAAATGCACTGGAAGCTGCTAATAAGGTAGCTTTTACTGATATAATTGTTTGTTCCTGACTTCTCATGTGCTGAGTTTGTTTTAAGCAAAATTCGCAGAATCGTAGAATAGTTTGGGTTGGAAGGGACCTATAAAGGTTGTCTTGTCTGACCTCCCTGCAGTGAACAGGGACATTGTCGACTAGATGTAGGGGTGGGGCATCCACCACCTCTCTGGGCAATCTGTTCCAGTGTTTCACCACCTCCACTGTAAAAAGTTTCTTCCTAATATCTAGTCTAAATCTACTTTCTTGTAGTTTAATACCATCACCCCTTTCCTGTTCTGAAAGATTAGCAAGAATTCTAGTGTTCCCTCAGCTTCGTAAATTGTCAGTGTCTGGGTGTGCATATGGGACAATTTTTTGGTTCATTGTGAGTCCTTTAATTTCTATGACATAGTAAATCAGGAAGAAAATTACGAAGATTCCAATGCAGTTACCCAAGAAGAAAATTTCAAGTGAAACAATAAAGTTTCACTTGAACTGATCTGTGACACTGGAGAATCTCAGATTTCTTAATAGGAAAGACTAAGGAAAATGAGGATTTGAAGAAAGTAGTGTTCTAATGAAATTACAGCCCTTAACAGCTTTCAAAGCTTGCTTTCTTCTGCATTTGCTTTCCTACTAAACTACATAGTAGCTTGTCATGAGCTCTGCACTATGCAAACAAGGATTTTTCCATGCCAGATTTAAATCCCCACAAGGTGTGGGATGTTATCATCTCCTTACTTAGTTTTATGTGCGCAGAAGGAGGAATCCACTTCAGAAATGATCCCTGATCTCTGCTTTGTGCAGAAGGAATCTCGCTGGACTATTCTACTTTGTGACTACAGGCAGCTGAGGAATGGATTGCATGCAGGAAAGGGTAAAGAAAGTTATTGGAAGTGATAATTGTGTGAGGTTGTAAAAGAGAGCTGAGAGAGGGATAGTGTGCTTTTCAGAGCGAAGACATGGTTATTCAGTTGCATATTACACTGAAACAGAAAGCAAAAAGCTGCATTTCATAGACTGGTTAAGTTTTGGTCTTATCCAACTTTAATCTCATTCCTTTCCTTTTTTTTTGAAGGTTGTCCTACAACTGAAATGATGGAATTCAGATCATCAACAGTGTCTGCTAGTGATGGCTCCCCAGTTGATTTGGAGGAAAAAAATGTATTCTCTGCAAAGCAAAAAGTTGTTGGTGCTGTAGAATACTAAAGTGAGAAGGCTGTTATGACTTGTGACCAAATAAACTACTAATCCTTTGATAAAAGTAGTAAAATCTTGTATCTGTTTGATCAAAAATATGAAAATCCAATGTACAGTTGCTTTTAGTACTGAAGATTTATAGACCTTTGGAAAAGAATCACTTATGACATGTGCCATATTTGTTTTGGTTAAACTTTGATGGTGACCACACAGGTGCCTAGTAAAACTAAGGCATCTTACTTGCATACTGTGTTACCTTATCTGAAGTGCCATGATAATAACATGAGAGAGTATTTGTAGCATTAATATATTTTATATTGTAAATATGGTAAATAAAGACCTACTTTTGTGTGTGAATAATTGCAGTAATTTTTTTCTTGATTTATTAGTCACTAAACTCAATCTTTCTATATGCTGGGGAAAATCACCTTAAAAACAAAACCAGTGTAGAACCACAGAATAGTTGAGGTAGGAAGTGAGCTCTGAGGGTCATCTTGCCCAAGTTCGCTGCTCAAGCAGGGTCATCTAGAACAGACTGTGCAGGACTGTGTCCAGATGACTTTTGATTGTTTCCCAAGGATGGAGACATCAGAACCTCTCTAGGCATCCTGTTCAGTGCTCAGAAGTTGTGGAAAAAGCACTGGATCTTTATTCAGAGTAAAGTGTGGCGTTTTAGCTTTGTTTTTGTATCTTAGTTGATGGCATTTCACTTAATGTTTTCAGAAAGGAGCACAGCGCTGGAGAGGAGATGACCCACGTAGACTGTGAAAAAGATATTTGCAGCTTACCTAATACAGCAGGTAAATCCTGCTCTAAATTTTCCTGAAACCAGATGGAGTTTGGATTGTAGTTACAAAAGTTAGAAGCCATAATACTAGAGAGGGATACAGCAGAAAATCTTATGCTTTCTACTATTTGTTAAACCATTTTTCCATATATAAAGAGCAAATTATCTGTAATGCTGACATAAATGCTAATGTGTGGTTCTCATCATGTATGTCTATACTAGGCATGTTTTGTATATATAAAAAAGCAAAGTATTTATGACCTACTTTCTTTGTAGTTTCAAAACTGAAGACCCTTCTTGAGTTTCTTCCACTATATTTTGTTGTGCTGTAGGTTTTCATGTAAGCAAAGTTTAAAATAATACATTCATACAAGGAATAGGACTTCAGAGTACTGGTCTGAGGAGGAGGAGAAGAAACTCTCTTGTAGGAAGGCTTCTATGAAAAGGACTTTAATAGGCTTCATGAATAGGAAACATAAATACATATATAACTAGGATAGAAGTTTCATGGGTCAGAAAACATTTTTGAAAATGTGTATCTGTGTAAAATATATTGTTTCCCTTTTATTTGGTACTGGTACATTTAGTCAGGTGTACATGTTCAGTCCCAGCAACTGAAGAAAGATCAGAAACGTGGAGAAGTGAATAAAGAATTGTAAAGATGAGAAACTGAAAAATGCATCTTACAGTGAAGGGACTGCAATCTCTAACAGATACAGCTTGATCATAGTCTTGAATTTCCATACACAACAAATTTGATAATGGATCAGATAACAGAAAAAGACTTTGTATAAGTGGTACGAAATTCAAGCTAAAAAATCAGATTGGAATTGATAATTGCTTAGCTTTTCTAGAAATCTGAAAAGCGTTACTGCAGGTTGTCCAGTAGACTGTTCAGGAGCATGCTATTTTTTAATTGTGAGTGTAAGGAATAAATTTGTCATGTCTATTTCTTTTTTTTATAGGTGTATTTGTATTGACTCCACTTTTTCCTTTCTTCTAGATCTAGTTGCTTCATAGGGGAATATGGCCTTATGTGTTTAAATGCTTCATGGATTGTATGATGCATACTGAAGCTGTAACTCTGCTTTAGCTTTCCTATGATAGGCGTATGTTGCTAAAAAGCTTTTGTAGAGAAAAGAGGCTTTATTTTTTGGTAACTGATTTTTATTGTTGCCATGCTGTTTTTATCATTTAGAATGGAAGGACTGAAAACTACTTTTATTTACAGTAGCAGAACCAATAAACAGCCATTTATTTCATACAAGTGTACACTATCAAGTTTGGGATGTCATTTGGATAGAAGACACTTATTTGTGTGCTGATCCACTGACACAATTTATAGATGTAGCAGATACTTAGAAAGTCTGTACTTTGAAGAATATTAAGGTGGTTATTTAAAACTTATTCTGTAGTATGTTGCTGAAGAGAATTTTGTGTTGCTACCTCTTAGTTTTCAAAGATCAACTTTTCAAAAATGCAGTAAGTTCATCAAAATAGTTGTTTTCTCCACAATAAAAGGCCACAAATAATAACTTCCATTTTCACGTTCAACTAGCGAAACTTGTATTGCAAAATCTGCCACATTGCTCACTGATAGAAAGCAATTTTTAAAAATGTAGATGGTACTTTAAATATTTCTGACTTTTTCTTAGTGGTAAAGTTTACATAGTTTCATTTTAAATTCTATAGCAAGTTACGTAATGATGGCTTTACAGTTAAGGGTATGGGGTGGTCATTTAGTCGTTAGTATCGTCCTATATTTGTCCTGTCCTTTACTGCAGCACTGAACAGAAAAGGCTGAAAAATAATTTTTCAATGATTTTTTGCTTTAAAAAGAAGACAAGTTTCTGTTACGATGTGACAAGACTAAATACGCAATTATATGCTCTTTTTGTAGGTGTTAGACTTTATTGAAAATCTCAGTATTTTTAATATAATGATAAAAATTATGTTTCTAATAGGGGACATAACAACACTGTATGACTGGCTAGAGAGGGAGAGGAGCACCAGTTGACGAGCAGTTGAGAACTAGCAGCTAAAACATGATAATCATGGAATTGCATTTGAATGTGTGGAATTGCATCCTGACCTTACATCACTACAGAGAAATGAACTGTCCTCATAAGGCACAAAATGGGCTCCAGTAGGTGACCAGGAACAGGACTAAAGAGAATGGAGAAGAGAGCTTGCTGCTCTGTACTTTGTACCATCTATCAGAAAATGTTTTTTTTTCTGTCTTTGCTCAGAGAATTAGTTACTTCTGGAACAAGCAAGGTCTCCAGTTGTGACAGATAAGGCATTTGTGGAGACTGTACCAGACCTAATTGATGCAAAAAGCTAGAGATTTCACAAACCCCGTTATACGGGTGTCAGCTTCAACATACACTTCAAGGAACGCAGGTAGACCCAAGCAGGTAGCAAATAGGACAAATGTGCGCATCTAAGACAAGCTCGTGGCCAGGAGCACGTCTGTCAAGTGTGCCCAGCCATGCTCCCTTCCCTCCTGAAGAATAGGAGGACAGGTAAAGAAGTTGGCATCACATTTCCACACAGAGGTTTTCATTAAGTGTGGAGCATGGCCATGCACGTCACAGCCCCTGGAGAGAACTAGATGCTGGGACCAGAGCTGAATAAAGTCACAAAAGCTGAGGAGAGCTTGTGGTGTGAGAAGTGTCATTTACAAAGACTAAGGCTGTGACTAAGGGGGAATCGGGAAAATCTTCTGAAGGCATAAGAAGGCTTAGGCCAAAGGTGCAGGAGTTTAAAGAGACCCCGTTAGATTAAATAATTTTTAATTTTGTCTTTGCTTATCTGCTCACTTTGCCCATATCTGTATTTTCCTATGTTCTTTCAGGCCTAAGGTCTTTCTAATTAACTGACTACAGTGCATGGAATAGCTTTGGTGTTTGCACATTACACCACACTAACTTGTAAAGATTGTTCCAAGGAGATGCTTCCCCTTCGTCCTGTTTCAGGGACACGAGTTCATATTCTCCCAATGTTTACCCTGCAGAGCAGCTCACTTCTGGGTCCTGCAGTCATATGGCCAAAAAAATCCCAACCAGCTATCATGAGCATGTTTAAGAAATCTCTGTGGTTTTGCAGGTACTGTGTACAGACCTCCTAAGTATGTAATTTATACCAAAACCAAAACTTTGCACATATGAGTGGTGGGTTAACGTGAGCCTTGTCCTCTGCTATAAGCTAGCTGCTTTGTTGAAACTTGTAGGAATGTCGTATCTCATAGGTCCTTACTGTTCTGTTATCTTTTGGTTGAAATTACGAATGGATTTGTATATTATTGAGACACTCCCAGGTAGGCACACAAATATACACACTCAGGGACAATAAAGCTCAAGTCCTTGGGAAACTGAGCCAAAAAGGACTTCCAGTTCAAATTGAATGAGAGCTGCACAAACTGTACCGGGATTTAGCTGAAACATAATTAGCAATAGGACCTACTTATGCTGATCTTGAAGGCTGGTTCCTAGGGGCAAGGAAATTAACTACTGAAGTACAACTGTGAGGGAGCTTAACATTACAGCATTATTCACCTTTATTGTGCAAAACCAGCCGAATTACTCCAACCTATTGATGGGAAGAGAGTGTTTCTTTTGTACTCACTAATTTCTAGCTCCAGATGGCAATGTACCTGGGTAACCCATAAACAGACTCATTTTCCATCCTATGCCTCTGATAACTACTGCATTCTCCTTGCTGCCAAGCTATTGCTCTCAAGTGAGAAATGTTTTCTTCTGCTTTTTTTTCTAGAAGTTGTTGTACCTACAGTTAGTGGCTCTTGCCTCTGTATGTGGTGGAGTCACTAATCTCTGCTGCCAAACTTTGCACCAAGAGCTGGCAGGGGTTTCCTGACTCAAGATCATGGCTTGCTGTTCTCCGTGCAGATAGGCCTTAGTGGGTGCCACTCAAAATGGGCTGCGGGGCTGGGATTTGTATCAGTGGCATGTGTTAAAGGTCTGGTGCATAAGAGTGGACCCTCCTATTTTGGAACATGCTATTCTTAAGGAGTTCTGTATTTGCACTGCTCTTGTTTTGTTAATGGCTTTTACTCTGCTCCATACTTTTTTTATCCCCTTGGAGTTGTACAATGTAACTGCTTTTAATCCATGTGCCTGTCATCTGTTGTGTGAAGTAGCTGGTTGATCCATAAACTTGGGATGAGGTTGGGACTTTGGAGCCCACAGAAAAATTGATAGTCTTAAAGACCCCCCTAGATTAGCAATGTCAAATGCCTGGTTTGCAGCCCTATATTTCTTGTAAATTAAACCTATTCCTTTTCTTGTTTGTTTATTCTATTATTACAGACTCTTTCTGCAGAAGCCTGCTGCACAAACAAAGGGAAGGATGAGAAGGTCCAGGTATTGCACAATGTGACAAACTTTAGCACGTAGGAAGGTTTCATTTGTTATTATATTCTGATTAAAGAAATTGTCATGTCAGTTGGCAATAAGGTAGTCAGCTGACCTTACTGCCAGGTAATGAGGAGCTGCTGAAGAAGCTTTCCACATTACTCATTTGTATCTGTACCAATGTTTCTTTCTGTACAAGCTTCCATGGGTAACAATCACTTTGGTACCTACATAGACTCTGTTGGCTTGGATATCTTGACTCTCCTAAAAGTATGAAACATTTTTAATTAAAAAAAAATTAACTGATAATAGTTTCAATAAACTGCTATGTTAGACAGCAGTGTAAACACTGTTAGGAAACAATTGGCCATAGAGAAGATGACTGACCTATTACTTCTCAATTGCATGGACCTTGCTAGAACTTCACCTGTGGCTCCTTGGCTGGAATTGGCTGTGTTAGGCAAAAAAGCAGCCAAGTGCGGAGAGGCAGCTCCTCAAAAGGAGCGCACCCAACATCACTGGTGTGCCATAAGACTCAGACACATCTCCTGATCCTCAGTGGAGTAAGGAAATCTGTAGGAAACTATATGCAGAAATTTCCTCAGATCTGTCCCTAGACATCTGCCAACTTAGTTTTGGGTTTGATTTCCTCTTAGTGCATGGTGCTAATAACACCAAGGTCGTGGGTTCGATCCCCATAGGGGCCATTCACTTAAGAGTTCAACTCAATGATCCTTATGGGCCCCTTCCATCTCGGAATACTCTGTGTGATTTTGTGTGTAATTTTTGGGAGAATGTTGCAATTACCAGCCACAGGAGACCTGGGAGTCAAGAAAAGTCTTGACCTGGGGTATGTCTCAGTATTGCTTCCAGGAATGAACATGTGCTTGTTTTCTACTTTTTAATACAAAATTGTTCTCATAAATTTCAACATTATTACTTTGTGTCCAGTTAGATCAAATCAGCTGATTCCTTGCTTGGAAATTCAGTGGAATTTCTCTCTGCTACCCTTTATTTCTTTTCAAGATCCCAGCTTCTCTGAAAATGTGATTTGACTTTTCCTTGAGTGATACTTCTCACACACACTATGGAAATCCTTCCCAGTATAACTATTTGAAATGATGTGTGGTGTAACAATTATAATCCTCCAAACTGTTATTTCTTCAAATTTCTGTACACTCTAAATGCTGAAAGATAGTGACATAGATACTGCTTTGAATTGTTTTACTGTGTTGTTTGGAATGATGCTGCTGTGGGCTGCCAATATGTGATAAGAAATACAGTGGGACTAATTTTTATTCCACTTAAAAAAAAATTAAAGTGGCTACAGAAAGGTCATTCGTGATGCATAAACTTTGTAAAAATCAAGGTATAACACTTTTGCTGAAGATGCTTTTTAAGAGCAGATCTGTAGTATTCTGATCTGAATGCTATAAGGCTGAATTTGGGTTGGGTTGCGGGTTTTTTTTGAAAGCTTGGATCTAGAGGTGTTCCATGGCTGGGTATCTTACATTGAACATGTAACATTATAGCTACTGAAGTTCTTCAGAGTTAAAATTGAGAAGGAAAAGCAACAAGTCTAATTAAGTCAGTCTGTGGTAACATTATTGCATAAATTAGTGGACATAATACAGCCAGTAAATAACATTGAAAAGAATAAATGTTATGGGAAAGACCATTCTGGACCACTTGTCTATCAAGTTAACATCAGTCAAATCAGGGATTTTGACTTTGATCTGGGATGCCCTTCTTCTTAAGTGTCCTTTTTTATGAAGCCTGTGCCTATCCAGAGCACTCCTGTTGTAGAGGTCTCTGCTGGAAGTGGCTCTTCTGTACTGCAGGTTGGCACTGTCATACGTGTATGTGGTGGCTCGAGGGTCACGGAGGCTTGTGAACACATCTGAGCTGCTGACGTCATTTCGTGTTTCAAGTGGTCTAAGAAGCATGTTTCCATGGGGATCAACCTGTGCCAAGGAAGGAATGTGGATTAGACAAGTTGCTCAGCCAGCCCAAGGTGTATTCCAGATGGACCTTCTCGCTCTACTACTGAAACACTCCTGCAGTGACAGTCGTGTCTGGTACAGCATTCACAAAAGTGAAAAGATACTGAATACACTTTCCTGACTAGTGTGAAATTAGCTAATAAACATTTAAGTACCTTCCATCCTGACCTGGCTTCTTGGTCTGGGACCTTGTAATAAGGTTAGTTATCTCATCCTCTGTGAAATAAGACTTTTCTAATTTTATCTTTAACTTGGGTCACAGTCTTTATGAAATTCTGATTTGTAATGTCTGATGACTGGACACTTAAAGGTTTCATGTACACAAGGTGAAAAGAAAATGTTACTGTTTAAACAATTTTATACAGATTTAGTGCTGAAGGTTAGTTTCAAAGAGTTTTGTAACAATGGGTTTATGATAGGAAGAGCATGAAGGTACAGTTATGTAAAATGTTCATGATGAAAATTGATTTTGGAAATCATAGCATATCATTAACTTGTTCCTGTGCCTTGTCATAATCCATTTTACTCAATGAAACCCTACATTCAGTTGCATTTTTATGTGTTAGTACCAGAAGCAATTGTTTCAAATATGTTTGTCACTTACTTTATTTGTGCTGTTATTTAGTCAGGGCACTGTTTTAAGTACCTATGCAAAGAACTGGAAACTGCAACCACTATGTACATCTGGCACAATATTTTATATATAAATATATATAAAATATTTTTGTGTTATTGTCTTTCTTATGTATGAATATAATTAACCATGAATGGCAGCATTGCTACAAAGTGTTTTCACAAGTCTTTAGTTTTTTACCTGTTTGTAGTAAAACCTCTTTTGAAAATTTTTGGTGTTCTCAGGATGAAGACTTCTGACTTCTTCATAAAGACTTCCTAGATGTTTCAAATTCACAGATATTTAAACATCCACTATAGCTTGTATGAGGGAAATACACATCAGAACACAGGCCTCTTAAATGAAGCTTCAAAGACTTCACCTCGAGGCTTGAATACTAAAATTGGTTTCGGTAAGCTGTGGTGTTTGACCTATCCCAAATGTAATACAGTCTAGACCATGTCTGTGAATGCCTTTATGTCAAGGAATAAAATAGTAATTATAGACAACATCTGGTGTTGTGAAGCACCAGTGATATGCAATTCTTTGTTTGCACTCTGATCTTTACATTTTTAGTAAGAAATAGCAGAGCTAGGAAGTGATATAATAATCTACAGCAGATTTGAAGTACGTTCAAGAAAAATCTCCAAGAAAAACACACAGGGAAACCCAGTCTCTGGGATTGCCACGGAGGATAGCTGAGAGCCAGAGAAAGCCTTGGTTCCACCTGGCAGTGTGGAAGATGTTCCTTCCCATGGCCAGGAGAAATCTTCATGTAGTTACCAGATTAAGCACCTGCTAACTGAAAACAAAGCAGTGAAAGGGCTATTTGTACAAAAGCCACACAAGAGATCTGTGGGGTAAAAACATTTTCTAAATGGAGTATAAGTCAGCACAGACAGAAAATGCACTTGTCTGGTTTAGCAACTGATTCTGTATGTGCTGAAAAGAGCATGCAGTGGGAACACCCCAGTTCCTACCACTGCTTTGGTGGGAAAAAACTCATATATTCTGGGTTAGAGAGGCCAGTTTGTCACAAATGAGCATGCTATTTTCAAATATTTACTTGAGATATAGACTACCCAGTTTATACTTTTTAGGTCAAGCCTTCAAATTTAAGCAGAAGGGAGATTTAAACTAGGGTTTCCTGCTTTCCAGAGGACTGCCATAACCATGGGACTATTCATTACTCCAAAGATCTGACATTTTTTTTTCAGTGGAAAAAATAATGATCTCAGAGTTGTCTCTGTGTAGCGATATTTTTTTTTAATACTCAGAAGTTTTGATAGTCAACCTTTTCGTCCCAGTTTTATGAAATAGCTCTTTGAACTGTCTTTGATTACATAAGCTAATGTGTAAGCTAATTGACTTTAGTCTTATAATAGTAGTAACAGTAATGCAAGCATCATTAAGCAGTTATTATGACTTTTCTTTTGACAAGACATCTCTTAACAGCCTACAATCTGAAGTGATTCACAGGGTTCTTCTTGAACTAATGTGCCCTGACAGTTTATTATGAGGCAAGCAGCATATGAATTCCTACTCTAAGTGTTCTGAATGAACCTGTTATTTTTAGAATAAGTTTCATTTAAACCATTTTAGGTGAGGTGATTTGTATATATCATGAAACAATTCGGTCTTTGAATTGAAGTCTTAGCAATTCACAACAAAAGACCTTACACTAATCTTGACTAAATTAGCTCAGGGAAGTATAAAGTCTCTTCTTATGTACCTGGTCAAATTCTCTGTGTAATGTGAAGCTTGTGGGAAACAATTAGTTTCCCACATAATTAAAAACCCTTTCAGTATATCTTGAAGTTCACTTCAAAATATTCTTAAACTTGTACAGCTGAGATTTTGTTACTGAAGCTTAGTAATTCTACAAATTCCTGCAGGAATCTGGAAAATGTACAACTTGTTAAGGGATCCCCAAAAGAGTCTTGTTATTAGTTTTGTCTATTTTTATTTTTGGAATGAATTAACAACAAATATATGCACAGTAAATGCTGTAAATTTTCTGTCTTAAAATCTTTTCTCCCTTACTTAATACAAGGTTACCGAGGCCTTTCTCTTGGCCCTGTGCTGGAGGAAGCCTGTGCATCAGAACCAGAGAGCAGGTAGGTACTGCAGTTGTACAGTCTTTGACATATTTGCATCAGATGGCATGACAAAAAATTGGCATGGAAGAGACAAGGCTCTGTCCACTGAGTTTTCTGACCCAGTAGCTGTCTGGCTGCTTGCTTAGGAGTAGAGTATCTCAGTCCCCTGCTTATGGAGGAAGGAAGAGCCATATCAAGCCTAGAGTACTTTTTCCTTGCTCAGATATGATATTTATTCTTTCAAATACCACCGTGTTGCTCTTTAACTACAATGCCTTAGATTTTGTTACATAAACTGACCATGGCTCAGATGAAAACAAGATTTCTTGCTTAACAGATGTTCTGAGCCTAAATGTGTGTTTGCATGAACACTTTGGTTTGTACAATGCATAAATCTTGCCTAAAGTTGTAGAAAGCCGAAGAACTGATTTTTTTTGGTCTTTTGAACATATAATGAAGAATATGTGAGGAACATGTCAAAGGATCTAAAGCTGATGCTGTGTTAGTCATCTGGTATAATTATCGAAGTTTATGTATTCTTCAGGTATATGGTGATGCTTCCTGTAAGAACATTCATATCTGTATTGAGAGTGTATCTAAATTGAGTATATAAATTTTTAATTTTCCCTTTGCAGTGGAACTACCTAAAACCTAAATCAGCACAGGTACATATATATGAATTTTTTAAAGTGTATGATGTGTGCTGAGGAAACATCATTAAAAAAAGTAATAATTTTGCTTGTATGTTTACTTAGAAAATGAGTTTTCTGCTGAGGGCCATCAAATTATATTTTAAGTGTAAAACAGTAAAGTAATAAAAAGAAAATCACCCAAAACAACAGTCCTGTGTTGACCACATAACAAATAGTCAGTCAGCTCTAGGGGAAGAATAGCATGTTGGTATTCCTTGAAAAAGAATGAGTCTCAAATGTTAAAAGCTGTCTGGAATGAGTTTTTACCTACCTATTTTCTTTATCTTAACTGTTGGGAGATAAAAGGTAAGAACTTCTGTTTTATCTCAATACAAACCCATCTTCCTCTTAAGATGAAAGATTCAGGGCCATGTTACTCATACAAGCTGTCTTGTTGGAACAAATGCAGTAGTGTTATCACAATCTGATCTGCAAAGAAACAGGTTATGCTCAGCAGGGCTATACTTATTCAGGTGGGGATTTACTTGATCTTTGAGCTACTTATGTGGTTATGTATTCCCCTTTTTTTTCTCCTTCCAGTAGCCACTCTGTTGGAGAATCATGATTTCCTCAGAACCTGTGGCTGGCCTTTGGCTTTCTATTCTGGGTGCTTTGTGGTTCACAGAAGGTTTGAAAGGAAGGTGTGATGCTGTGCGGACTTGGGGAGTGAGGAACCATCTATCACTTGCCTTGTGTTGTCATTTATGAACCTTATGATGGCTCAGCCCCTTTTCCACTCACAATATGATTGCATTCTACGTTTTTCTCATATTTAAGAGAAATCTTCTCTGTAACATTCACACTATCATTGTCTGGGGAAACAGAAGCAGTTGCATGCATGGACTATCTAAATATTTTCTTGCAGGGTGCTTTTGTCCTATTTATCCATAATTACGGTGGTCTCCTCAATGACATCTAGCTTCAACAAATGAGCAAGGACATATAAACAGTCTTTATGCTTTATTCAGAGAAACAGAAATATTGTTTACTACAAATTAATATTTTTTGTATATAGAAATTAAAATGGCATAAATTGTGAAACTGGAAAGACACTATTTCCACCTTCTTCAGTCTGTAGAGAAAGGAACAGCCACATAGGAAACAGCAGTTCAGTTTCATTGTTCATCTGGTCTTCTCTATACTGTTAATATCAAGGTCAGTTTGTTGAGTGTTGCTCACACATCTAATGCTTTTGTTATCTGGTGAAGGAATTTGAACTCTTTTACTCATGGGAGTTGCATGTCAGATGGAAATGATTAATATCTTCACCTGGCACAAAGAGATGAAGCACTGTTACATATCATCTATTGGTTAGAGGTCCCTGTATGGATAAGTGATGTGGGTCATGAGCAGAAGGGAAAAAATTATCCTGTAGCTATATATACTTACAACTGTACTTTTATGCTCCAAAAAAAACTTTCCCCTGCTCTGGTACAGACATCATAACACCAGTGAAAAATCTCAAAACACAGTGGAGAGGAGCTCAAAGCTGTTTTCACATAACCTTACTGTGTCCCACTTCTTCAGTCCCACAATGTACATTGTTCCTGCCAAGGACAGAAATACAACTGTCGGACATCAGCATTTCCATGCTGAGTAAAATGAATGTTCACAAACCTGCACTGTACAGGCAGAAAGCAGTCTGTTCACTTAAAGCACTCTCAGCCTCAAAATGGAATTACTGTCTCAAGTGTAAGCACTTACAAATCCTGGTACAAAGCGTGTATGCCTTCTTTTTCTGTCAGAAAAATGCTGGTGTATGCATGTGGTGCTCTGAAAACTTTTGATTCCATTCCATTCAGAGTACCAGCCTCAGTTAAATCTTTGCCATGTAACATTTAGACAAAAGCTTTTAGTTATGAGGGCCTTTTGTTAGTTAAACAAACTCTCCAAATATGTAGGAAAAAGAACTTACCGGCACTCTTATCCTTTACACTTTCTCATCCTTTACTCAGTTCAGTGCACTGGGGCCCATGGGGACAAGGCTGACCTCTGAAGAAGCATTGATTCCCTCTTCATCCTGAATCCTTGCTGTGCTGCTTCTCACCTAGGCTGGGTTATCTCAGGAGCTGTTGAGGTGGCTGGTCTGTTTGTGAGTTTTGTTGGTTTTTTTCCCTTCCTTATTTGCCATAGAAATGCATAGACAGTGTCTGCGTGCAACAATCCATAACAGGGTGGCTTATCTCCTCTGCTCTGTGGAAGACAGTACTTTGTGGGACCTTGGAGACTGATGATTGCCTGAACTGACATTGTGCCCCCATTGTAATAAAGCATCTCCTACACAAGGGGACAGGAGGCAAATGCGAGTAAGGACTTTTAATGGGCTCATGAGTTCACTGAGGCTGAGAACATGACAGCTTTGTTAATGATGCTTAGCTGTAGTGGTGTGGCTGCTGGGACACCAGACACACAAATTTAGAACTAATAAGATATCACAGAGTTTCTGAAACACACTTCCTGATATGTATGTGAAATTGCAACCATCCATCAAGATACGGTCTTACCTGTTAGAGTTTTATGTGTCGGTCTCATTCTTCCAGCTGAACAGAGGGCTCGAATAAAGTTTTGACCAAATGTTATCGCCTCAGGCCACAATAGTACAGAAATTTATAGGACAGCCTGGGTAAGATCTCGTTAATACTTGGATGTAATATATTGTAAGAAAAGCAGAGAAAGGAGGAAGATTTTTGGCTCATTAGAATATGTATTTTCCTCTGAGTCAGACTGGGCCAAATACACCTGAGGCTTTGAAGGGTTTATTTCTGAAAAACTGGGAAAAGTTGAAATAGGTTTATAGCAGTTCGCAAGTGCTCAGTGATGTATTGCAAAATTAAACTTGTCCCTGTAAAAAAAACCCAAACTCCATAGTATTACTTCCTAGAGCTTTTCTGGCTTATTTTTTTTAAGAGAGGGTAGTTGAGGTCTGCTTGAATTTAGCTGAAAGAAAAATCCTGACATGTGAAAGCTGTTATAACCTAGCAGCGGCATCCTTGTGTTCCTGGAAGCTCTGTCATGTGGGCTTCATTCAGGGCTCACTGAAGCAACAGAGTCTGTCTTTGCTTTTTGTTTTTGATGAAGTTTCTTTGTGTAAAGAGGAACTTTATTATAAACATTTCTTCTATACCACCTTCTATATCAAAGAAATACACAGCTGAAGTAGTAAATATTTAACTTCCTTGTACCCTTGTACCCTTGTATTCCTTCTCTGCTGCAAAGAAATGTGTATCCTGAATACTCATTTGCATTTTATGTGGTTTCTTACTATGTTTTCAATTGAAGATGGAACAGACCATACATTGCTGTATTCTCTTAAAATACAATTTTTCTTTAGGCAATCTTAAATGCTTTTGCACATGTTTCATCTGCATTTATCTCTATCATCATATACATCAACATTATCACAATAGAAATAATGATTGAGAAGTTAGCTTGAATGTTTTACCTGGACTCTATTTGTTTCCAGTCTGCTCTTCTCGCCTGGAGCACGTCCTGCCCTGCCTGCTGTCTTTTTTTGATGTTGAGGTCCTTTCCCAAAGAATATGTAATTTACAAAGGCATATTCCAGCAAGGCCAGAAACACAAACACAAAGCATCCCATCAAGTAAATATCTATTGCCTTGACATAGGGAATCTTTGGCAAGGTCTCCCTGAGGTGGGTGCTGATGGTGGTCATGGTCAGCACAGTTGTGATTCCTGAAAAAAGAAGAAAAAGACATTGACTAACAAGACAAGGAAGGAGATTTGAGTGTGAAAGGCATAATGGCAGCATTATATTCCCATATAGATGGCTTAATTATGTGATCAGATTCTTAACAGCCAAGGGAATGCATTTTGCAGGACTGGAAAGGAAGATATCCTTGCAGGTCCGCTGATAGCACCTTCCTTGGCCTTCCATGCAATGGAGGGTGAATGAAATAACTTTCAAAAGCCCAGGCTGTCTTGATACAACTTGCCTTAATTTTTACAACAGCTTGGCTAGGGAACATGGTGTTAACTGACCTGGATAGCAAAGAGTCGATTGATGTTTTTTCTATGTGAGGAAATGCTTCTCACTTTATTTACATCAGTAGCCCTGCTTGATCCCAGAGGGTGACTTGCATTGATCTGGAGATCTGGAATAAGTATCTAGCTTTTGACTGAAAACAGAGCATTGAAAGGAGAAAAGGAAGCTAGTATATTTGCACTGATGTCAGTAGGATCTTCTGTATACATTTCAATCATGCATCTGGCCTGAGAGGACACTTTTTAACATCTACAAGGATTGTTCATGCAGCACAGTGTAGATATCCTTAAATACCTGAATTAGACTTTTGCGCTTCAGTTTGGAAGCAAGACACTTTTGTTCTGATCCAGAGACCATTATGACAAATGGAAATCAGTCAGGATCCCAACCTAACTGCAGAGCAAGAGCTTCAGATATAGGCAAGGTGGCACCTGCCTGCCTTCCTGACAATGAAGGTCCTACGCTGTATATGTAAGATGATAATTAATGATGCTGCAATCAGCAATATGGAATTGGTGCCACTGTATTCAAAGGCAACAAGTATTTATGCAGTTCAGTTATTTTGAGAAGAAGTTACCTAGAGCAACTCTGGCTGCAGAGGCATCATAATTGATCCAAAAAGATACCCATGAAAGAATTGTGATTAGCGTGGAAGGCATATAAGTTTGCAAAATGAAGTATCCAATATTTCTTTTAAGCCGGAAGCTAAGTGATAATCGAGGATATGCTCCTGAAAGAAAGAAATCATATAATAAGTAATGCCTAACAAAAGTTAGACACTGATATTTCTGGGTTGCGGAAGAGAGGAGAGGGTTTTTTTAACTAGCCAGTGCTTACCTGTTGTAAATTCCACTCTCTTTGATACCATCTTGTAATCAACAATAGAAAATTGTGGGAGCTCAATGTTATTAACTCCTGTTACTGCTGACTCTCCTCCATTCCAGTAAAATTCAATATCATCAGTAGTGTATCCATCTGAAACAGAGGCAAAACTTGGTTATTGACTTTTCTTTTTGTTTTACTATTTTGCTTAAATAGTTGAGGTTCAAGTGGAAGGAACTGTCGTTAACCACAAATTCAGCCTTCCGTTGTGTGACATTCCTGTTATACAGAAGCCATGTAGCCTCCTCCATCCCCTGGGGAAGCATCTAGGTGTAAAAAGGGAGAAGACAGAAAACCAGGACAGAATTTAAGATTAAAGATAATTTTTTAGCTAGCAAAAATGCAACAGTTTTCCATTCAGGCTTGAGTTGCTCAGTTTGCTAATAGACTGATACAACATCAACAAAACTTTTAAACTCTTTTTGGAGGAGCTCTGACAGTAAAACCAGCTTCAGTTCCCAGCTTTTCATTTGATTTCCTATGCAGGCTGTGACAAAATACAGAGTTGGGAGCCAGTGGAGGCAAAGATGATTCTAGAAGAATTAAGGTGTCTGTAATATTACCCGACAGTGTCTGTCAGAGCTGAAGGTAACCCTTTGATATTCATGAAGCATTTTATATTTTAATTAGACCATGCCAACTTTGATCTTCTGTTATCACAAAACTATTGCTTTTTTACTTCAAAACTAGCACCTTTCTTCTGTTTCCTTTTAGCAGTGATGTTGATTATTTCTAATTTAATTAAAAATTAATTTGGCATTCTACCACTGGGAATGTTAACATTATTGTTATCATTTTCAGAAATAGTTTGATTGAACTAAAAAGTGACTGAATTTCAAAAAAATTTCAAATTGACAACATTTTCAAACTAATATTTAAACAGGTTCCACTTTATTGCATTTTTCTAATTTCTCCCTGTATCTACCAAAGGAGAGAACAACTTCTCATCTATTTTTAAACTTTTCCTTCAGGTGTTAGATTTAATCAGGTTTAAATCATATAACAGAGATCAAATAAAAACGTGTTTGAACTCAAAGCTTTAGAAAACTTGACAGTAGTTTTGCCAGCTGAACTAACCATAGCATCAGAAGCCTCTACAAAAGTAGGAACTTATCCTTTCATATACACCAGTAATACAATATCTAGCTAGGGAAATTAGTCTTGAGATGTCTTTCCCTATGATGGTGCTTGGTAATAACCTCATCTCTGGAAGGCTGGCCACATACAGAACAGGTTCATGGTTTCCCTGGTGACAATCAGAGAAGCTCTCAGAACTTGCTGGCAGGCTCCAGAGACTGCTTGGAAAGCCTGCAGTTATTGAACAGCTATCTTTTGATGCAAACACACAGTGATGGGCTGAACAAGGTTAAATGTTCACATATTTTATTTGTGAACTGTTCAGAACCATGGTTTTCTAGCTATAGGAATTGCTCCAAAAACCATACTAATCTATGTAATATGGATCACTGCTGTTAGCTTAAAATGGTGCTTTTCATTACTTATGCTAATTTTTTTTTAAATGAACCATTTCAAGGCTGTGACACAGAGCTCTGTATGGCTGGTTTCCATTCCTTTTCACTGCAAAAGGTCAAAGTAGCTCCTTACTAGTGGGACTTCAGTAGCCGCTTTAAAGGCTTTGTACACAAACCACAGAACCAACATGAGCCAAATGTAGGGTGTAATACAGAATAATTGAAAGAGGGAATGAAGACTGCTAAAACTGTTTAAAAGGCCAAGACCAAGATTGGCAAGGAATTGTTAACTTCATTTTCTTGCAAGTCTGTATTATAAAAAAAATTCTCTTGAATGATTTCCCTTTTCAGAAAAGATGGTGCCAAATAGAGGAAGTTGGAACTGTCATCTCATACTGAAAAGGTATGCGTGGGCTTGGTACTACACAGATATCCTCTACATGAGGTAATACTCATCCTTTGTCTTTAGGGCACAGAATAAAGAACAAAATTGACATCACTACTTAGATGTTGCACAGGTACTTGCTGTAAAGTCACAGGTGAAGATTTAAATGTGAGAATCCTGAATTCTACCTCAGGGTTTGGAAGAAAATGATGACTCTGATTCTTCTGTTCTGTGCCATCATCACCTAAGGACCATTTCACACCCTACCCTTCAAATCTGCCCCCATTGTGCCACTTAGTGCTGGGACCCAGGGCAGAGAAGGGAGCTGTCTCCAATCCTCAGCAGCTCCTGACTTTATATGCAGCCTCTACAGGCAGCCTCTGCCATCCTCTGCAGTTCCTCTGACTTTTTGATGAAAGAGGGAATAGTTTGGGCACCTCATTGCAGCTAAAATTCCCTTCCTCAAAGGTGAATTATTGTAGATATAGTTTTTAAAACCCACAGTGGTGCCAAATAAACACCTGGAATACCACAGATCAGATTTCAAAAAGAAAACAAGCACAACCTCCTACAAAAGGATTGCACAATGTTATTGGTACATTGTGTGCTGATGCTGGATCTTAACAAAATGAAATTATATGGGCTCTGTAATGTAGACAAGTGTGCTTTTCACTAATCTTTGGAAGGTTTCTATGACTTTGGCTACTAAATAAAAAGTAAAACTAGTAGGTTATAAAGTCAGTTGAGCAAAAGCAAGAACGTTGCCTGGAAGATACCAGCTGGTGACAAGCCATCACTGCTTGGCCATGGCAGGCCATGTTTTTAACCTTTACAAACTTCAAAGAGACTTCTAAATACATCAAACAATGGATCTAATATAAGCATCTGCTGTTTCTAAATATACTGATTTCTTCCTTGAATTTACTCATTTGAAGCTGAAGGAAAGTATGAGAAAGGGACAGTGATGTTTTTCAATCAGGAGCATTCACATTTGTTAGCTCTCTTTTTAGAAGACTAATTGAACAGGGACATCTTCCTGTGCTTTTATGTAGAACAAACCTCAGTACATTCATTATTTCCTTGGCAGTCATTGTAATAACTCTGCTAGACACTAAGAAGGTGTAAACTCTCCCTGGGCAGTCCATTCCCTGACGTGATAGGGTTGTTGCTGTGTGATGCCCTTCATTATGTGTTTTGCACATTGTGCAGGTGTATGAGAGGCATTGCATTCCTGGCTGATGGTGACTCACAGGTGCAGGGCTTGGAGGCCCTCATGTTCTATAGGTGTTGACATGCTATTTTCTTTCCAAACTAGCAAACTTGAGAGGAAGACAGTTGGCTGCAGTTTAAAGACAGGAATTGATCTCAGCTCTGAACAGAGTTAGCAGAGGACAGATCACTCCTTCCTTTTGAAGTGGACAGTGCCTTTAAGAGAGGAGCTGTAGTGACTTAAATTAAGAAACCTTCAAGTGTGGAGCAGCACTGACTACTGGCTAGCAGGTAATGACAAACCCTCATTTTGGGCAGCAAATGCCTTGGCATTTACAATGGAAGAAAAGCTATTTCAGTGGTAGGAAAAGTGTGTTTTGCTTGTGCAGTGGCCAGTGTAAATGCTGAGTTGTTCACTGAACTTATCTGTACTGCCCACGTATTCCCTCTGCAGCTCTTTTGCCATGTAATCCTTTTCCCTCTGTGCATGTATCCATGTCACCAATTTAAAGAGATGCCTCTGCTTTTGTGACAGAGAGCACAGCACTCTCAAGTGGACAAGGATGTGCGAACACAAATTTCACAAGAGTCAGATATCGAGAACCGAAATATTTCAGTTACGTTCGCAACAACTGTCAAAGAGCAGTTGCAACTCTAGCTACAGAAGTCCAGTATTATTTCCCCCGCAGAGCATCGCGCCGGCCGGGTACCGCTCCCGGCGGGCTCGCGGGGGCGCCCGCGCTCCGCGGCCGGGCGGTGTCGCTGCGCGGCTCCTGCGGGATCCGCCGGCCCGGCGCGGGGGGTGAGCCGCGATTTGAGCACATCGGCTCCGTATTTCTAGAGCAAACATGGCCTGATTTCTGGGCCGACATCCCCGACAGTCTAGCTCACTTCATCAAACAGTTTTCCCAGGAATTTTGCATCTAACTTTGTTGACCTAAATAATAAATGATCACTAAATTTATTTATTTTAATTAATAAATTTCCCATGAAAAATATTTGATCTATTTAAACCTTTGTGTGAGAGATTCTTTTCCATGTTTAAAACCATTAAAAAATATTTCATTGCCCAGCTCAAGATATGAAACTTCTGCTTACTAGAAAATATTGTCCAGAAATGAAAATACAGCCCTTGATGTGCCAACACTTTTTTTTTTTTTTAACTTCTAGAGCAGCAGCTAGCTAAGACTTCAAGTGAGAACACTTGGTCAGAAGTACCACAGATCTAAAAAGTGTCTAGATACACACACAGCAAGAAATAGATTATGTATAAATCTTGCTGTTCACATAAAAAATACTTTGGAAATGTTGCTGACATTGTGATATAGCTGAGGTTAACAGTGTATTGGATGTCAATAAGCTGTTTTATTTTCCACTGCAGCACCTACCATCTTAAATACCTCTGGGATAAGTAAGGATCAGTGTTACTTTAGCAAATTAAAGTCATGGTTCCAGTGTCTTTACCAATTCAACAGAGATGTCCCTTTTTCCTTCTTATTCTCCAGGGTAGGTAGCTCTGAAACACCCAGAAGCACAGTTTCGTCTTAGGATCTGTGTCTAAATAGGGTTTTTCAAAAGTCTGCATCAATTGTGTGTGACCCAAATCTTTTGGCCCTGTGTAAGGATGTGAGGCTGGAACCCAACCCTCTTCCATCCCTCCTGGACCAGGCCTTTTGTAACAACTTAGTCTTTGTTGCTAAATGTAGTCTTATATTTTTCTTGTTATTATTCCTATGACTGTATTCAAACAGGAAGATAATGCATTTCTCCCACACACCACTGAGGTGGTCCATACAGTGGTAAATGTATTGTACTATTTCAGCTTAAACCTAACATGTGAATGGGGCATCACAGATCTGAAGATGTGGTTTGTAACTTTAACTGGTTAATATTAAGGTGAAAGAATTGCTTGAAAAGACTCCCTGCCACCTGTGTTTGAGAGTGTATTTGCATCTTTCAGTTACCTTTTTTTTCACTGAGAAATATTTTCTATAGGCAGATGGCAGATTTTAGCTGGAGATATAAGT